TCAGCTTCCCTTACCCCCCCCCCCGCTCGATCTTCTTTCATTACATGGTCATCCTTGACCTGCATTATCAGACTACCTGGATACTGAATGCAAATCATAATGTGTTTGCTTCTTTGGAAGCTTCAGGCACTGTGGATCTTCGCACAGCCTTTTTATTTTGATTTTTTGAAAGTTTAGTCACATTTATTAAGCCGAATCAAAATAAGAGAGCCCGCGGACCTCACAATTCGACCCGGGTGAAGATGGTCGGGCCATTTATTAAACAGAATGAAAGTAAGAGTGGTCGGTGACATAACACAATTTTTCTTAGATCGCAAGTGATTCAAGTGACATTGGATGTTATCATCTCAATCAAATGGTTATCTTGACTACGTACCATAATCCGTATGCGGGAATGGTATTCTGCCGCTTATCATGTGTGCAATTCAAGAAAGTGTCCCTAATTTTTCCGCTAATAGGTTGCCAATATGTCGGGCTTCGAGCCTTCCTTTGCCGAGGCGGAGTAGAACTGCGCTCCACTCTTCGTCACAGTGCTAGCGCGACCTTTCATGTTTATGTTTTGGCTGGCGACGCCGGCAATTTTGGTCTGGTGGCGCCAAGCCTTCGCCGTCGTTCGATGAATGAGGTATATGTTTATAACTTAGCGGTGGCGGTGATTAAAAAAAAAGGGATAAGTTGCAAAACAGTTGAAAACACCCCCATAAGTTGAGATATATGCCAAAATGCCCCTGAAGGATGTAGGAGAGGAATGCCATTTCGGGCTGAATTATTTATGTTATCCCCCTTTCAGGCCGGGGCACAAATTTGCAATCTGAGCCTTGTTGAAATGATGCAAATAAAAGACAGTCGAAATCCAAATCAAATCCTCTCAAAGTCAACTTGAATAGATGAAAAACGAATCAGTTCAAATGAATTTCGAACAGATAACAGGTTGTGCGTCCCCTTCGAACAGATAACAGGTTGCGCGTCCCCTTTGAACAGAAAACAGGTTGCGCGTCCCCGACGCATTTCGACACCTGGCGGTGTCTCATCAGGGAGATTCCACCATACTTCGTCCCTCATCGTCATCAACGATACACTAACCCACTCCCGTTCCCATTTCGCAACAGCGAGTGCTGATGTTCCATGGGTC